ATTGGGCAAAGATTTTTTGTAATATTTAGGTTTTTTGATACTTCAGAAAAATACAAATACTTAATTGGTGTAAGGCATTTGAAAGTGTACACTGGACTTGGCAAGTTATCAAATGTTTACCATCCAATAAAAACGGCGCAGTTACAGTTTGGCAGTTTGTTGTGTGTGTGTGTGTGTGTGTGTGTGTGTGTGTCTAGTAGTGATTTAGGAAGCATGTTTACGACGCTTGCTACATTACCATTGCGTCTGCATGTTCATGAAACGTTGAGTTAAACTGCGACAGAACAAACCATAGTCAATACAATGCCCTGCGGTAGCAACTAGAGAGGAGCTGCGACAGTGGCACGCGGCCATGTCCTGTCTGCTGCAGCAGGCAGCAGAACATAAAACTAATAATTACCTCCCGCGACAGAGTTAGCTCAATGTATCCAATTACCAACTGTTCGTCAACTGAACAAAGCACCCCCCCTCCTCCCCACTACCCCACCCCGCGCATTCACTGCTCTCCCCTCGCGAGTCGCGCCACAAAGGGGTTCCGCTACGAAGACTAACTGCATTGACGAGTTAATTCTTTAATCCTTTAATTCTTAACAACAGACCCGTCAATGGAAACCGAACACTTGCCAGCGCCCGCAGACAGACTGTCGCCGAGTCGGTAGCGGTACGAAAGTAAATTTAAAACATATTTAGCGCGAATTATGTAATCAAGCTTACTACACACTGACAGATTATCTTGAAGATAAGAATGCTTGACAGCATGTTGGTTCGGCTCTACTGGACAAAACTCAACTGTAGTCAGTAGTTAGATTTCAATAGTAGGTAATTTAATAATTTTCGTGAATAACAAATTATCGTGAAAATCTTGACTTTGACTTTGACTTTATGTTATTACTTCTACATCTAACGTAATAGCGCAGTAGACGAGTAAGTATTTGATCTGTACGATAGTAACAATTATTGTTTTTGTATCTGACAGTCATTTTCTTCTGAAACCGCAGAGGGAAAATTTCGGCTGTAGAAGAGTGTTGGGAAATGTAGGTACTAACAACACTGACATAACATATCATCACGCCTTTTATCAGCCCCGAAGGGGTAGGGAAAGGTGCACATTACAGCACTTTGCCACTGTACAATTGTGACACCCACTTTTCACTATTTTATGTTACGAGTCCCGTGTAATGGGTGTGAGCCTATTGCCATATACCGGGCATAATTCCAAACTCCGTGCTACTATGACAATGTTTTTTAAAACCCGTAATACTTTGCCCGACCCGGAAACGAACCCGAGACCCCTCGCCCGGCAGTCGCACTTGCGACCACTCGACCAACAACGCAGTCACTAGATTCGGCAAAACTAGATACTAGGTACTAACAGATCAGGTAATAAGCGAGAGCGATTATTGTTCGTGCATCTGTTACTCTCTCGGAGTGCGCCCAGTGACGTACAGGGGGCGCCTCGCTGCCGACCTCGTCACCAGAACTATTGCGTAAAGTGAAAACTTAGCTAGGTCATCCATTTTTCTTAGTCGTTTCAACATTTCAGTAAGACTAAACTAGAACAATAATATATTGTTGTCAGTCACGGTACGACCCACGCCATGATTGAAGGATGCATTTGAATATTTTAAATATCAACTAGGTATGACCGCACGGGTGGTGTTGTAATGGGTTCGAGTAAGTGAAACAAGTGAATTTATTTAATTTAGAATATAATTATGTATTAACTCTTCAGAAAAAGTGATTTATCTCAGGCAACGCGATGTTACAGCTCCTGAGGTGTGTACCCATCGATGTCTTTGTATCCCAACCGAACTATGTGACAGCTCTTGACAATACGCAGATTCATTTGATTACAGCTGTAACAGGACCCCGCCCTTCATTTGGGTTTCAAAGTCAAAGTCAAAATCATTTATTTCAATTAGACCAGGAAGCCACTTTTGAACGTCAAAAAATATTTAAATATTAAATAATAAGAAAAAATGTCAGTCTGTAAGTCAGACCTCTAGTGAAGCTATTTGGTAGTTCCAAAGTGTACATTCCTATAGAGAAGAACGAACAAGAAACTCCATAGGTTACTCTTTTTCAAGCATGTTCAAACTGGTAAGCAAAAATACTTTAGCCCCCATTACCTCTATAAATGTTAGCCCGACCGACGCAGGCGGAGCCGCGAGCTGAGCGCAGTCTGCGACAATACCTACGGTAGACTGTTTGAAATCTAAAATATTCCCCTTCATTCAATTGTTTTTCCCAACGTCTGATGCTGGGGTCAGCCCTCGCGGCCCCTCCCGAACTAGCAGCTATAATTAACATTCACACCACATGCGAAAATGTATCCCACAATCGTGATCATAAGGCACATTTTAGGTAGACAGCTGGCGGTTTAATTATTATAATTCATATCGCCTAGTAATTGCAGAGTTTGAAGTGAGAGTCTTTCATTTGAGCGGCTGAGTGAGTAATGGTGTGTAATCCTAGACACGCGGCACTGTGTGTGTGTGTGTGTGTGTGTGTGTGTGTGTGTGTGTGTGTCACTCGTACTACCCATGCTTGTACTTGGTCATTGATTCATATTTGCATATCGTGGTATTTATTACACGATCTTAATGTGGTAGATTACTCCATAGTCTAAAGTACCTTGAAGCAATTTTGGTATCTGTAACTACCTCCAGTCAATCAACTAGCTTCCAACCGACCCATCTGGAAGTCACCGGGAGCCTACGTCTGACAGAGGACGTTCTGTGGCTGATAGTGACTATGATGATAAAGACAGTACCTACATCAGATAGCTCTGTGTCTATAAACATGGAGAACCACTGCTCGGAACAGTAGCTCGTGGCTGTGTCCTGAGGAGTTGTGCTTTGTCTCCCAGAGAGCAACACAGAGCAGATCATACAGTCGTGGTACCGGCGAGACCAGTGACAGTGAGCGGCTGTGTTCACCAGCTGACAATTGCTATCTCTGGCCGGTGCCAGAACTTGTGAGTGGTACTCCACTACTCCTGTCGCTTCTCGTTCGCGTGCCGGTTAGTTAAAAACTGTTTGCTCGAAAATTGCCCGGGCAGAAGTAGGGTGGGCACGGGCACGCTCGGGTCAGGCGGGCAGGGACTCGGGTCGCCGATCAAAATATGTTATGGCCACCGATTAGGACGATTGCTTTGCGCCCAAATGAACGTGAACCCGACGTAATGGTGCTCCACCTACTTATTTATGTTAATTGTTCAGTGCCGACCACCAGCATAGCGTGGAGCTAATCATTGGAGGGCGTTGGAAGAATATACCAACTCATGGAGTCTCAGCACATACATACATGAGGTATATTTACGCAACGTTGCTCAGAATAGTTCAGCAGGAGCTAACGAACATTGATATATATTCCGTTTATAATGTGATTATCTAATCACATTATAAAGTCAATTATACGTACTAAGTAAAACAGTAATATATGTAATATTAATCTATAACACACAGTATCAGTGTTTTATAATAATAACTTGCGTAAATATGTAGATGTCGAAGTAAACAGTAAACATAGAGACTACAACAACAGTTGTTACGTAGACATACACGTGTGTGTTTGAAAGGAAAGTTGAACTCGAGTGTAGCCCATATAGATAATTCTGAAAGGAGAAGCATTCATAGTGCACAGTATAGCCGTACTAATCGTCAGCTGCTAAACATGAAAACGCGCGCGAATCCGTCGGCCACGGCGCGCGGCCTACTGTACCTACTGTTGTACAACAGAACGTCAGCGCAGCGTGACTCACAGCACTACACACACTACATACTGCTCACGTGCAGCGCCTGCAGCGCCTGCAGCGCCTGCAGCTCACGCCAGCTGGCGCCAGTAGCCGGCACTGGCAGCTCGCTACTGCAGGACGCGCTAATTCGACACAGACGAGCATTTGTTTGTATATTTATACATTACGTGCACACTTACTGTATAGATAATATTTTGTTTTGAAGTTCACGCTCGATATCCTCGCAGGACGAGCCTGCTGCAGGGTACAGTGGAGTAGAGGTCTGGTACTTACCGAGAGCTGTCGATGCGTGTGCCGTCGCGCGCTCGGAGCGAGTGACCACAGTCAGAGAGGTTATTCGTGTGTGGCTGGCGGCCGCGATACGTGCGTCCCGCGCGAAGGCCCGGCGCCGACTGGTCGCGTCGATCGATAGCCCCGCCACCGCCGCGTTACGTTTCCTTTACACCAATCATTTCGAACCAATGTTACTTTTTATGACGTATTTTTCGTGGCACCGAAATTATTGCGATGTGCCAACGATAGACATTGCCTGGAGTCTCGTAATGCAAGGAAATATTTTCATCAACTGGATGCAGAATACTGTAGAGACGCAGTTACTGCATGCTGTACCCGTGCGATGGTCTCGGGTCCCGCGCGTGGCGCTCGTCCACTTCGGAAGTGCGATAACACGAGCAGCGAGCAGGCCGCGCGCTGACTCGATTGTTTACTTGTGTTCAAGGACACACTCGATTAGGAAAATGCTCGCGTGGAACAGCTGATGCAGTGCAGCGCTATACTGCTACAGCTTACATATCTGTGCAGGAATGTAGGTAATGCAATGTGTTGCACGGTATAATATGGTTGGAGGTTTTTGGTCAATTTTAATTAGCTGCAGCGGTGGAATGTTTGGGGTATGTTTGATATTAGACTCACTGCAGATATAAGGGTAGTGCACACACTCCATGTGTTATGTCTGCAGTGAGCACTACCAAGCACCCTCCTCTACCGACCCCTACCTAGGCCCCGGTGATAATCATACATAAGTTGTGTAGTTAGACTCGACCACTGACAGATCGACCAAAACCTAATATAACGTAAGACGAAAATGACCAATTTTTATTTCATTTTTGCATGAAATCCTAATCCTACGTGTAAACAATCCGGGGATCCCGCGTTACACGAGCCAGTATAACTACAAGTATACATATATTTCTTCAAAATGAGAATTTATTTATTTTTCTTGTGTTTAGTTCGTTGACAAGGCAGACCTGGAGCAGAGCGCGGTGAGCATCGATCAAACGACACTCGATGCGATGGTAACCAGCACCCGCTGCACGAGCCACTAGTGCCACAGACTCCTATGTGTAACAATGTACTTACTGTTTCTGTACTTTATTGTAATGTAATTAATCAAAGAACAAGATCATTACTTCTCCATAGTGTCAATGACTTTGAAAATATAAATAATATATTGTACACATTGGTAGTGTATAAAATCGTGGTAACTTTCTAAGAGGAACTTTACAAATATTACAAGTTTTCGTATTGTTCCGTTGTTGGTTTCATTTGTTCTTCGCGATAGTTCAGAAACAATCAGAATGGACCTCCAAACGTTCCTAATGGATAAGTTCACACAGTGGTCGCCGCCGGAGCCCAAAGTGCTGAAGAGAACAAAATGTTCCATCACCCTAGACTGGCACAACGTGGAGCCGTTCCAATTCATCAGCGACGGGCTGCTCTACAGGCTGGAGAAGAATGAGAAGATACCTCCGTGGGTAGTTGTCTACAGGTGACAGGCATTACTTGTACCTTATTGTGTAGGGAAGTTTTAACAATAATAACAATTAGAAGCATTCATACATTGTAGAGGTGGCAAAACATCAAAGGAGATAGACAACCTGGCATCGAGGCACTGCCACAAGTTCCGGCTGAGAGTGATCGTGCAGGCGACGGCAGTGCCGAGCCTCGCAGCGCGGGCGCTGCAGTACTATGGGGACGAGGCCGCTGTGTACGAGACCATGAAGGGACTGGAAGATAGCAAGGACAGCTGCGACACTCCTACTGAAGTCACCAGTGCAGTTGGCGCTGCAGTCACGGAGGCTGCTCCATCTAGTGACAACGTTAAAGTACAAGCAGCAGAAGATGATCAGAAGCAAACTAAGTAAGTCGGTAGCATACAGTTCGTAGCAAACAATCAGTATTCACAACTATGACACGTACTCGTTTACCATACTTCATCTACATTTACACTTATGGTATAAAGAGGAAAGATTTGATTTTTTGGTTGTTTGAATTGAATAGGCTCGAAACTACCGGACTGATTTGAAAGATTCTTTTACCGTTGGAATCCTACATTATCGATGATGAACGTAACTAGGCTACATTTAATAACACAGAAAAAAGAGAACCGCGTGAAAATTTCGATAATGTAACCCGATGTGTGAAAATACTACCAAAAAATTCCTTCCTTTGACTGCCAATAGAAAACTGTTTTCAAGGACTAATAATAGTATTTAGCTTCGTCAGAATCAAGGATTTTAGAGAAAAAATACAAATTCAATTAACAAAACATATTTTATTCATGGCATGACTAGCTTCTGCCGACGGTTTCGCTCGTTCTCTTTTCAAATATTGAGGGCAGGTTTACAAAAGATAAAAAAATAAAAAAAAAAAATAAAAAAGATAAAAACGAATTGGTGCCCAATGTTTTGCTGGAGACAAATATGATACCAATTTTAGGTTTCTTGAAAATTACGAAATGCTACGTACAAACTTCCATCCCCTGTTTTAGGGAAGTGGTGGTCAAAATCAAAGCATTTATTTCAATTAAACCATAATTAGGTACTTTTAAAACGTCAACAAATACAAAATAAATAATAGTCTGTCAGTCAGTCCGTCAGTGAAGCTAGGTGAAGCTAGGTGCTCATTCCGAAATGAACATTCGAACGGAAAGAAAGAGAAAGAAACACCATTCGTTACGCTTTTAAAAAAAAGTATATTCTACAATGTCTTTGATACATATTCCAATACTGTACGCATATGTGAGAACAATGCAAAGACACGCTTGACGCATTATACTAATTACAAAACTTACTAAAATAAAAAAATAAAAAACAAAACACAAAAACTAGTAAAGAGAGAAACTAGTAGAGCTTTTCTCAGTATATTCACATGAGTAACCCGCGATTTTAGTTCGCATATGCATCCTAACAATCCATAAAAATAGTGCTTCTATACAAGAAAAAGGAAACTCTTTGTTTCAATAAAGTAAGAAACGCTCGATGCCATAAGGAAACTAGATTGTCTACATTAATAAATAAATAAAATAAAATAAAATAATGTTTATTTCGGACAAGTGAAGCATCCATAGGGGTTAGTAAGAAAACATTGAAAATCTTAAAAACTATGTTAGTACCTATAGAGATATTGTTACAAGCCTACTGTTGGGAATACATCTTCGCACGATACCGTGTACTATAGGTGAATCGTACCTCCCTGCAATGGTTTTCAAGATGGAGTTGGAACTGGCCCGCACCCTGCAGAGCAGCGATGCAGACTTCTGTCTGATAATGGCATGGAAGTCATCAACGTGTGCTTGAGCGAACATGCCAGATGCACTGCAGAAACGGGGCAGTCCCATCAACATTCTGAACCCATTATTATATTGGACTCGCAGGGCGCTGATAGTCCGCAAAGTATAGCCGGCCCACAAGCTGCACGTGTAGAACACTTGACAATATGCTTTAAAAAGTGTTACTTTAACCTCCTTGCTACAACGCGCAAACCTGCGCGCCAGCATATTACATCGAACTGCCAGCGCCCTACGTTCCCGCTCAATGTCTACATGGTCCCTAAGGTCGTCGGTCACGTAATGACCCAGGTATTTGAACTGGTAAACACGATTTAGTTCATTACCATTAAGCCTAATTGCAGGTACGGAATCTGGACATTTACCACCACTCGCCTTAAAGACCATGAATTCGCTCTTAGCAACATTGTACAGTAGGCCATGAGTCTGTGCATAGGACTCACAACACGCAAGTAACTCTCTGAGCGACCTGACCGTTGGGCCCAGCAGCACCATGTCGTCGGCATAACTGATGTTATTAATACTGCAGTCATCAATGCGACAGCCGATTTTCTTACTGCTGAGCTCAACGATCAGGTCGTTAATATAGAGGTTGAACAGTTTTGGTGAGGTTATTCCTCCCTGCCTTACACCGCACTCCAAGCCATACGGCACCGACAACTTGTCGGCCCATCTCACATTATTTATCTGGTTATAGTACCAGTACTGAAAAATACGTAACAGTTCAGCCGGAACTTTTCTCTCCCGCAGCTTATCCCACATGACATCATAAGAGACGAGGTCAAAGGCACGGGAAAGGTCTAGAAAACACGCATAAACTGGAGTTCGACGCCTTGTATAATATTGTACGGTATGTTTCAGCCCGAGAATCGCACTTTCAGTGCATAGATTATGGCGGAACCCGAACTGAGCATCGTGCAGCTGCAGAAAATTATCCAATCTTGTGTCCAGCTGACTGTCAAGCACCTTCGCGATAATAGTAGCTAGAGAGATGGGTCGATAGTTGCACTTATCTGATATGTCACCCGTTTTGTTCTTTATAATAGGCACAACAATGGTCCGCATGAGATCATGAGGGAGGTACGAATGAGACATGCACAAGGAGTAAAACATAGCCAATACCCTAGCCATATGCGGTCCAGCATGCTGCAGGTGCTCAACGCTCAGACCATCATGACCCGGGGATTAGAATGAAAATAATAAATTACCTACTATTGAAATCTAACTACTGACTACAGTTGAGTTTTGTCCAGTGGAGTCGAACCAACATGCTGCCAAGCATTCTTATCTTCAAGATAATCTGTCAGTGTGTAGTAAGTTTGATTACATAATTCGCGCTTAATATATGTATGTATTAAATTTACTTTCATTGAGATCTAGTATGCTATTTGGTATTTTATTACAGCATCTAATACCTAACCCTATAAAGGATTTCTGGACCTTGGACAGTCTGAGTTGCGGTATAACTAACTTATTTTTGCTTCTATTATTAAAATTTTGTCGATCGCTTCTTTTTTCAAACAATTGCCTATTTTTCCTTACATACATTATATTTTCATATATATATTGACAGGGCACCATTAAAATATTTATCGTTTTAAATAATTCTCTCAGCGATTCGCAACGGCGTAAGTTATATGTTGCTCAGATAGCCCGCTTTTGTAGAATAAAAATTGATTCTATTTCTGCAGCTCGACCCCACAACAAAATGCCGTACTATATAATGCTGTGGAAATAACTAAAATAGACAAGCCTTGCTGTATCTAAGTCCGGGAGCTGTCTAATCTGTGTAACTGCAAAAGCAGCTAAGCTCAATCTACCCGACAATGGCTTTATATGCGGACCCCATTGTAGCCCCATTGTAGTCTAACGTTATGCCTAAAAATACTGTCTCGTCGACAAATTCTAACGTTTGACCGTTCAAAACAATATCTCAATCGTTATTACGCACATTTGGTAAACTGAATTTGATACATTTGGTTTTTCGGCGTCGTAACGTGCCTTGTTAAGTTTCTTAAATAAAATTACGTTATAAAAGTGCTCATCATTAATTTAAACCAGCAATCAACCACTTCAACATTCTCATTAAGTGCTAGATTACCTATTAATGGTGAACCAATTATGCACTCGAAGAATGGAGCTGTTTACGTCGTCAAGATTATTTGTACGTCGATCTATTTTAAAAATTAATGATGTATCATCCGCAAAAAGCACCATTCTTGGTTCATTTTTTAATATAAATGGCAAATCATTTATATAGACTAAAAAGAGAAAGGGACACTATATTGAACCTTGAGGAACGCCTATATAGGCCCAGAGCCCTGCGAGTTAATACCATTAACATGAACCTTTAACTGTCTTTCTTCTAGATAATTCATAAGACGGAGTATAGAGTTTCTGATCCCGTAATGATCTAATTTCAGCAAAATATAGGGATGGTTTAGAAAGAAACAATAACGGTACTTTCAATCCTTTCAGCTAATACACTCAGCTACACTCAATAAATCAATCACGTCAATTTCTAACAAATCAAACACATTTACAAAATTATAATATTAAGTCTAAACATTTCTATGTCATCTGACATATTTTTGAAAAGTGAAGTTTCATGTCAATGGATCATTGACAATTTATTTTTTTATTATCATGATATAACATTAAGGTATGCAATACCCTATTTAGACTCTATTTCTACGAGAATTTGAGACACTGGTACAGAAAGGACGTATGATCGCTCTGATTCGTTCTATCCCGGAAATCCTACGGGACAGGAATTATGCGTCAAAATTCCGGGACTCTCTATCGCTTAAACCACTGAGAGACTCAAAAAGGTTTGAGTGCAATTCGGTACAACTATAGTTTGAGAGACTAGGAAGAAGATGTGTTTTTTTTTATGGAATAAGCCGATAAACGAGCAGACGGTTTACCTGATGGTAAGCAATCGGCGTCGGTCGCCTGTGCACATCCGAAACACCAGCCGGTTACCACCTTCATTCATATTAATTTATTTCATTTAATAATATTTTTGCGCGCTGTGTTCCACGGCCACGGCAAAACATGCATTTTATTGAACATCTTGTTACCTACCATGTTTTATGCAAATAAATGATTTTGATTGTGTGATGAAAGTACCTAAGTATTATTAATCACTACAACTAATGGGCCACCTAGTATAATCTGTGCAGGTCAGTAGCTGTGAGGACAGCTGGTCACAAGTGGCTGGAGTCCCAGTGGTCGGGGCTGACGTGGAGCAGCACGGACACGGACGGCACCTCCGCCGTCTGCTTCTGCATGGCCGTCCGCTGTGGCTACCTCAAGCAGGTGCGCCATTGTGGAACCTTTATGTCTATTTACGGAATTATTTCACCAAATACCTCATATATGTGTGTGTGTTATTCATGTTTCCTCGAAATTGTGTAACCGTTCGCTTATCTTGAGAAAATAAAAAATTACTAAGATATCACTATGATATATACTCTCCCCTTCAACTTACAGAATGATAACTGTTCGTGATACTGTGAACATAACGGCGTGTGCAGGTGCAGGGCATGCTGGACGAGCGGCCGGCGCTGATAGGTATCATCAACTCCAACAATGGGTTCACACCGCTCGCCACCGCTGTCAGGAAAGGTATACATACCGACATATACACATACTAAGCTGTGCTAAGGAACGCGGTGCGTGTGTGTGCGTGTGTGTCCCTTAGTACATGTGTGCGACCGACTTGCTGAGGAAGTGCACCGGTTCCTTGACTAACATCATCATAGAAATTATTATATCTATGCACATCATAGTGAGTGAGTAGGCTCCCTATACTTTATCCTAATTTGGAAACATTCATTTTGTGTATAATTATTCCAACCAGAGAAGTAGTCTTCGTCAAATGAGCGCAAGTATGAGCCGATCAGTTTAATTGTTTCGTAGATTGAGTCAGTTGACCCGGGGTCCGTCCTCGGCGCGGTGGCAGAACAGTAAGTTATTTATTGACTCTGTACATCTAAATCAAAAGTCACTGGCCATATTAAATACCTAACATTTGTTTCTTTATTTAAGCTAAAAACGATATTTTGGTTGATATCAGTAAACGCAGTTACATTTTTGATACAAGTTACTTAATTGTAATTTGCTAGGAGAAATAAACACAGTTCGGTTCCTGTTGAGCGCGGGTGCAGAAGTCGAGCAGCGCTCGACTACGGGCCAATCAGCGCTGCACATCGCGGTGCTCAATGCGAACATCCCCATCGTGCAGCTGTTGTTGGAACAAGGAGCGGATTTCGAGGTGACCCTGACTAAACATATTTACTCACCATACCGACCATAACTCGACATAAACACACACACACACACATGAGCTGAGTGAGGAGTGCAGGAACTTCATCAAAGTAACGTGTTGGTTGGTAGGGGCGAGACCCGAACGGTCTCCGCGTGGAGCACTACGCGGTGGACTCGTGCAGCCTGGACATGCTGCGCTACATACTGGACAAGGGGGGCGACGTACACGCCGAGGACAACAACGGATGGACGCCGCTCTTCAGAGCCTGTGAGTATGGTCTGCTCACAGAAATATTAAAATTATATCAATGGCTCTGCTCGTGTGCGCCCGATACTAAAGTCGTGCACATTTGATACTTGTCAGCCACGGCGCTCATCAACTGATTGATACAAGCGTAATAAAAGAAACACAATATCCTAAACACATCCTCAGTTCTCTATCACCAGACCCTTTTTCTTTCTGTGAGAACCTATAATAATCTGTTGGATATATCAGTTATAGTTACCTAAGCAATTGTTCTCTTACTAGAAACATAAATAAAATGCAATGCGACAGTTTTACTCCACTTGAGGAACATGAGTGCGAGGTTACACGGGTACTGTCGGCAGTGTGCCAGAGCGCGGCCACGGACGTGGTCGAGGAGCTGGTGGTGCGCGGCAGCTCGCTGGAGCAGGCCGACCGCGCCGGCCTGCCGCTCACGTCCGCCGCGCGGCTACTGCGCGACCGGCAGTAAGACCTATACAGCTTCTTCTTTAATTAACCTATGCAAGGTCCTAACCATAACCACACGAGGTAACTTCTACTGCAGCGGACGCAGTCGCGACTCTGTGCTGAGACTGGTGGACTCCAGCTACCCGCACGAGAAGGCGCTGGCTAACTTCACGCGCCTCACCAAGAAGATCTACAACGTGCACTCACTGCTCAAGCTGCCCAGCCCGCGGAACAAGAACTAATGCTACTGGTCGAGTGCCCAGCTAACACAAACAATAGTAACGAGAGCTCTGAACTGTGGACATTACCTTCGTCTCAGAGTGAGAGTAAAATAATTTGATAAAGTTCAATTACATTATAAAAGCTATCTAGAAATAAAACTAGCATAAAATATAAAACTAATTTTATTAGAAAATAAAAATATTTACAAAATCCTTAAAAACTACGGGAGTATTGAATTGCATTATGCGTGTAACAAAGTGGTAACAGGTGTAGTTCATAATTATTATTAAACACGAGAGGCCGAGCGCCAAGAGCGAAGACAGCACGAGAGTCCCACAGCCAAGCCCGATACTATACATACGTTATCTCGAACACGAAATGCATTTCATGGCAAGCCCTAAATATTATCCAATAAATAATTAAATAATAATCCACACGTGCAAGCTACACGAGCTTCAGAGTTAACATCAGCCACAGTACGTGCGTCATCCAGTAGAGCCGCATCGTGGCCGCGGACGCGGTCGCGTGCTTCTCGTTCTCGAAGTCGACTTGATTCTTGGGCATACTGTGCCCGTTTGTTTGAACTTCTTCTATGTGTCCCATCTCAAACTGAGTGGCTTTTGTGTCTCTTCGCTTTCTTAACTTTCGATCTTCATCCGCTTCATCTTCGTCTTCTTCATATTCTTCTTCAAAAATGTCTTCAAATCGTGGTAATTTTTCTGTCACTTCCACTTTGTGACTGCCTTGAGCATTTAGTTCATCTTGTTTGTCTTTGTTAACAAGTTTGAGATGTGTCGTCTTCGTATTGACCGTGTTCACTGTCGTCGCCTCTTGAATGTCTTTGTTTATATGAGCAGCCACCGGAGGTGGAATTTCCCCTTTAAATGGACCAAACTGTGGTGTTTTTAAAAGTTGTTCATAATTAGCAGGTAACTTAGCAGAAAATAATTTAGGTGGTGCTTTGGGACCTTCGGACACGCTCGTTAAAGTCGTTAGAGTAGCGGCTGATACTGTTTTACCATCATAAGTAGTGAACGTTTGATCGCTCGACGAAGAAAGCTTCTGTGAATGTTCTTTGGGAAGTTTTGGGTCGGGAGGTAGATAGTGAGGGCTTATTCTGTCCGAGTCCATCATTAAATCGCTAGAAACCTCTCTCTCTACGTTTTTCTTGCTAAATAAATCTTCCAACTGAGTGATATTTTTTAAATACACTGGATGTGGTCTATCTTCTTTGGCGTGATTAGCGGGAAATACTTCTTTAGTCCTATCGCTAGTGGGCAGCAGATGGTCGGGCGGTGACGGAATAAACATAGGCTCGAAGGTTTCAGTGACTTTATCACTCGGAGGGTACTGGTGATTACTCGATTGAATTGATTGCGGTGCGTCTTCATAGTCTTCGTCGACATCAGTGTCTTCGCGTCTGTTTCCGTTTTCTTCAAAATCAGCTATTCTGTCTTCACCAGCCATGAGTGGTTCTCTAATAATGGGTTTGAATCCACTCTCCACTACGATAGAGTCCGGTCTGAACCCTGTGTTTACTGCAGGTGGAATAGTCGACTGGTCGGCAGACTCGCCTATAAAATCGGAAGACTGGATTTCGTTATGCGATTGCTGAGGATGTTCTTGCCTTTTTGAAGGAATACTTGATGTGGACTGATAAAGTACTGGAGCGGGGGTGGGTGGTGACCTCATACCCTGTTGTTTAGTTGGAATCATTTGCTGATCTAGAGGCATCGGATTGTCCATTGGCTTCCCCAGTATTATCTGGCCAGGTTTATTCAAGTACGGCTGTACGTTACTGTGCTGAGCTATTGCATCGTTACTGCCCGGTGGTAGCATTATTTGACTTTTGACCACCTGATTAGCGATTATGTCAGTTTGGCCTAAATTTAACGTCTGACTTGGCATCGGCGGCGGCAGCTGAACGTTGTTAGGGCTAGGTTTACCCATGACTATAGAATGCACTGGACCATTCGGTATTTTTGAAAACTGTGGAGGGCCGGGGTTTTGTTTCGGCCCTAAAGCATTGTAGTTAGGTTTATTTTGATGTTGTGGAGGAACTGTTTTCATTTGAGTCACTCCAGGCATAGGAGGAGGTCGGTTCATATTGGTCTGTAGACGATTCTGATTAAACTTAGCAGGCAGCTTCTTTAGTGGTCCAAATGCGGCATGGTGATTAGGCAAAGATAGTGGATAGCCTACATTGTTACCCTTCTGATAGGGAGGACGGCGCAGTTTGATCTCGGGTGGCACCGGTCGGCGGAAAACAGGGCGGCTTGGCTTCTGTGGCGTCGGCCTCAGTACTGTCTGCAGTGTTAGGGGTTTTTGATTGTTGACCGGTAGGAAGTAATTTTCGGGCATTTTGCCGGCCTCAAAGAAGTACTCGTCGTCCTCCCTATAGGGTTGCTCCGCCACGAAGGGATGATCCTGCGCGTCCTCATGCACCTGATACTGCGAGCGCGTCGCGTTCGTCTTCAGATCGTCCTTAATCTTGGTCTCCAGAGTCTCCACGGCTTGTATCACTTCCTTTATTTGTACTTTGGATATCGGCAATTCAGAATACTCCTGTCTTTTTTTGAACGGCGTTTTATCTGTCTCCGGGTACACTTCTCCTGTGAGTCCGGCGTCGCTTTTATATCTACTGAAATCGTCATAATTCGGTTTCGTATTGATAATTTTCTGAAGTTTTCTGCGATCATCTAAAAAGTTACGTTCGGGAGTGAGTCGGACGGGTACCTGCACGGACTCGTCCCCGCGGAGGTCCGCGGGCGGCACGGCCAGCTGGACCACGCGGCTCTCGTCGGGGCGCGCGTCGCAGTCGTCCAGCACGTTGATCTTCCAGCCGAGGTGGCGGTGCGTGAAACACTGCAACAGACAACCGTCTCAACACGAGCTCGCCCACGAACGCTGCGAGTTAATTAAACTTTCACCGTCCGCTAATATACATTCAGAAGTAATCGAGCTATCTCATGCACAGAGAATGCTTGGAAGGCTGAAACAGAAAACAGATAGTAAAGATTATGTACATACATAGACCGACCCCTGCTACAGGGCCGACAGTACTACACGCTACATGGTACGTCGTACCAGTACCTGACTAGCGCGGCGCTCCAGGCGCAGCTATGAGTTGCGTTTACTTGGACACGTCCCGTGCGCATGCGTCGTGTGTAAGAGTAAAGTGAAGAGTTATGTAGAATGAGGTCAGATGAAGAGTATAGTCACTGTAGTTGATAGTCATTGTTTGGTCGGTGCCTGAGCGACCGGTGGCCAAGAAGTGTGAAGTATGAACCAAGACATTAACATTATACACGTTCTACTGTCCATGCAATGTGAGCCGCGGTGCGGACCCCACTGACCTGGTAGTAGACAGTGTTGGGAGTGTTCCTGTCGGGGATCCATGAGACCACGCCAGGGTTGCCCTCCTCGCAGACCAGGGTGAGGGAGCGCTGGTAGGCCCCGAAGCTGGGGAAGTCGTCGGCCTCGGGCCCCGAGCTGTCCGGGGTCCAGTTACACAGGCGGCCCACGCCCGTCGGGGTCAGCTCCCCAGTGCGCGTGCGCCGCACTCCCGCATATATCTCTATGCCCTGGAATTACGTTTACATCCGTCAGCCACAAGTAATATTTCATACTCTTACTGCGGATGTCAATGTTGAAGTACGTCATCTCATATTGGATAATCGCAATTGTAAATTACTCTATTTAAACCGTACAAGTCACATTAGCACAAGACAGGCATTTGAATATATACAAGGTAGTCATTGAAATAAAAGTGAACTTACCTCCTTCTCCTTGTCGGTCTTGTGGAAGTACCCGCCGACGGGGTCGTTAGTGATGTAGAACGGATGGTACCGGGCAGGCACGTCGGGGTTCGACCCTCCCTCCACCACGAACGTGTACTTGCGGCCACGGATCACGTTGATCTCAGGTATCAGCAACCCGTTGATGTACCATGAGATGCCCCAGCCCACGTGACCTGGCGCACATTATATTACATATTACGTCCATTTTATTTGCATTATGTAATATTCTAACGTTTATAAGTAACTTATTACCGGTGATGGCGGAGTATCCCTGCTTGCCTCCGGTGGGCCCCATCTGTGCGTAGAACACGCCATCCGGGGGCTCGTAGCACTGGATGGCGGGGATCTCCCACGGCACGGCCTTGGGCACCGGCTTCGGGGGCGGCACGGGGTTCGCCTTTATCACCTGCACCTGCGCACGATTCCCACACACATACGATACATTACTAAACTGACGGTTACACTCCGAAGCGAAGTACTTTTGCATTTCTTCGGATTCACACCAACTTCGTTAAGATGTTGTTGGAAAACCAAAAGTAATCCTTAGACATACAGGCTGTGGTGCCGGCAGCGAGGGCGGCGAGGCGGGCGCGTCGTCCTCCTCCGGCATCGGGCAGTTCCACACCGGCGGACGACCGAACTCTATCAGCTTGTCGCCCTGCAGGCCAAGGGACCAATGGTAACACATTGTTCAACCGGATACCGGATACCGTCATCGTATATCTTTTAATATTTTGAATAAATATAATTCTCGTCCTGATATTAGAATTTTGTAATAAATATAAATTGAATATATTTCAGTAAATGTAGGAGAATACTACGCGCTACGAATGAACTCGCTAACCTTTGTGAAGTGCGGGTGGTAGGAGACCTCGTTCCTGGAGTTGAGCGGCCCGATGGCCCAGATGATGGCCTGGCTGCCGTTGGTGAGCACGGAGCGGTCCAGCTCGTCCGCCGCCTTCAGCGAGCGCTGGTACGTCACGATGGAGTACCCGTTCACCAGCGCCGCGTTCAGCAAGCGGATGGAGTTCGTGTTGTCCTGCAGCAGAGCGAGCCATTACAACCTGGCAGTACCGGCGGACCGGACCGCGCCTCGTAGACACGTACGACTAGTCTCTCGTCGGGGCAGGAGCCGCGCACGCCGGCGCACTGGCTCTTGGCGTCGAGGTAGTAGTCCTCGGCGTAGCCCTTCAGCGTGCGCTTGTCCACCCAGGCCACGGCCGGGTCGCCGCCCACCATCTGCGTCTTCTGGTTGTCGCCCGACACTCCGAACGCCATGTACTCGCCGTCCTCTGCAAAGTACCGAAGCATTATCGATTTAAGCTGTACTATTGCCAAAACGTAGATTTACTTCATTAATATAGGCAACGCGCT